TTTTTTTGTACAGTTTCATATTTATATGCATCTTGCTTACATTTATCAAAAATAAAATAAAAATAAAACTTAGCATGATAATTAATTTATTTTTAGTTAGAGGCTCTAACTAAACTTATTTTCTTCAATTACCATCGAACACCAATATGTAATGTGAAGTATCTTCACAAGTTCATGATTGATTCCTTTTTATGACATATCTATTAATGTCTCAATTTGTTATGCATTTTCCTAAATTTTACTGAGAATTAAATTCTTCATTTCACAGGTGTGAGAAGTTTTAGTCCTGAAATCCACCTTGATAATAGTTTACAGCACAATGATACTATGAGTGGTTGCAGTACATGATTTTGATTATAAAATTTTGATAGTGTTAATGTGAAATTGAAAGGTTTGGAGAGTTTTCTGTAACTAGGTATAATTTAAAGAGTTTTTTTTTTCCAATTTTTTCTATGGATACATTTTTTTTTTTTTTTTCAAGAGAAAGGCACATGAACTTCATGTAAGTGGAGGATGATGACATCATGATAATCTTCCACTCATGAAAATGTAGTCAGATGTGTCTGAATTTTTATTTTTTTTATCTCAACTCTTCCAATTTTGAAACCCCAATTCTATTCCACTAAATACACCTTAACATTATTTGTCGGAATTAAAATATGTGGGCATGGTGATGGTAATATGAGCATGCAATATGGCATTTGAGTTACTCCATTATTCCATATTAGTTGTCTACTATTTTCTTAAAGACTTTTTAAAGGAATTTGTAATTATTGGCATTGTTTCCTTTATAAAATTATCGAGTTGTTTTTAAGTTTAAATTATGTATTGTACTTGGTTTTGAGATTTTTTTAATAAACTTAAAACAGTAATTATGGAATGATAACAACTAATTTGGACATCTCTAGAAGGTCAGAAGGAATACTTAATATGGGACAAATGGAGAAAATTGTTGTATTACATTTATATATAGAAAGACTATTATGCCAACATGAAATTAATATGCATTGCCTCATAAAATTAGATAATGCTTTAACTACTTAACGGTGGGTGAGTAAGTGATATGCTGATATAGTCCAATAAGCGTTGATCTAGTTCAATAAGCAGTAAGAAAAACAGAGAAGGTGGCTGAATTTATCTTAAAAAAAAAAAAAAATTGTTGTTTTCCTTATTAATTATTTTGAAATTACACTATGTGCGCATTTAATACTCACAGATGAATAGTAACTAAGTACTGTCTTATAAATTTAGCATCAAGTTCCATTGTTGGAGTATAAAACTACAAAGCCCATCATCATATCTTCTAGTTGCAACACCACCAAGAATACGAAGGGAACTTCACTTAAAGTAGCTTTCTTGGCAGTTGTCTTGTTAGCTGTATTTGGTAATCTCTTTCTCTGTGTGTGTGTGTGTGTATATTATATATATATATATGTATAGATTATAGATACACTTCTATAGAGAGAATGTTGAACACTACACATGCAATAATTGAGTTACTCTCATCTTCATTTTCTTCATTTATTTTTAATTAGTTTTAAATATTTTTTTTTCTCACCTTAATTTTATACAAACTATTTTTCACAGTTATACATGTATATACCACCTAATTAAGGCTTATTCATTTGTTGAGGTTGAGATACAGATTTTAACTTTTTTCATGTGATTAAAATTACCGGGCTTTGGTTTGGGAGCTGAAACAAGAAAGCTAAAAGTAGAATGGAAGCATCCCAACCTACCCAAATTTTCTGGCGACCCGACCATAAACGGAATAAAAAACGTCCCACCAAACTGTGACTTCGACTGGCAAAGTTTTTTTTAACCTTTATGTGAATAATTGTGATCATAAGAAATGCAATACCGCAACTTGTATTAAACAAAGAAGTGTGTGTATGCACCGAGCAAAGAATGATAATTAATATTACCTATTGGCAATAGATGTTAATAATGCTTGATATAAGTTTAATTTTAGAATAAAGTGATAAAATTAAAATTAAAATTAATCAAATGTTATAGTGGTTAAATTTATAATATATATAATCAAAATTGGAGTTTAAATGAATTTGAAGATAAAAAAGAAAAAGAAAAGAAAAGAAAAAGTTATTATACAATTTTAAAAATTAAAGTTTTAGAGGGCATTATATTAAAATTTTCATATATGAAAAAAAAAAAAACCTTTATATGTCCGAAAAGGGTGGATGCAAGGGGGTTCTGGTGGGCTTGAGTACCTACTAATAATAATAATAATAATAATAATAATTTAGTAGTTCTAGCCCACTCCAAAATATATTTCTGGATCAACCATGAAAATGAAATAAACCTTATAAATTTTCATATCAGATGGAGTAGAAAATGAAGATGTTAGAATCCACACAAATCATTCAATGTATACTGTGTTTATAAAATTTTTAATCAACACTACAGTACATATTTAAAGCAAACAAATGGTGTTGAATGACAAATTGTAATTTTTTTTATTTTATAAAAACTCCCAAATAATTGGTCACTAAATTTTAGTTTTTTTTTTTTTTTTAAAATACTCCCTAATAAAAAACTCCCAAATAATTAACATAAAAACTCCCAAATAATAATAAAAACTCCCAAATAATTAACATAAATTTTTGTTATTTTAGTTAACATAAGAACAAGAAAGTTATAAAAACTCCCAAATAATTGGTCACTAAATTTTAGTAAACAAAAAAAAAAAAAAAAGCCAGAAAAACCTCAACCAGAACAAAAGAAAAACAGCCTAAAACAAAGTCACCACTAGAAGTAGACAATCAACACAATGATAAATGATAGAGGATTTTAAAATATATATATATATATATATATATATATATATATTGGGGATATAAAAACACAATGATAGATAATTTATTAAGCGTTCTAGCCCGCATTTTGGGAGATGATGATAAATGCACTCTTTTTCTTAACATAAATGACAAACATATCTCTAATATGATCAATTGATAGAATATTTTATAACATGAATAATATGACAATCCAAGATAATTCAATTTTCATCCAATTATTTTAATTTAATCTCAGGTCAAAATTGTGAACGTTGATTGTCCTTTGAACAAGGATTAAAAGTTTGCTACCCTATCATCATATGAGATGATGGGATAAAAATGCAATCCGGCTGAAATTGCTTATAATTTGGTATATATTAACACATTTTTTCCGTAAACATTTACATTTTTTGGTAAATTATATTAGCACATTTATTTGTAAAGAAATATTCAGAGCTTAACCTATAAAAAGTCTTAACCTATTTTCTCGTATGTATAATGCTTATAAAAAAATTTAAGAAAAAAAAAAAAAACACATGTAAAATTACATAGGAAAAAGGATAATTAGATGAAGTGGAAAGTTTGAAATCAATGATCTTTAAAAATAAAATATTTTTGAAAAGAAAGTTAGAATTCAATATAATTCATGTAGTGGAAAGTTTGAAATCAATGATCTTTAAAAATAAAATATTTATGAAAAGAAAGTTAGAATTCACATAGAATTCATGTATTGTGGTTAGAGTTGTTTTGCATCACAATAATGGCAAGATAGGCCTTATTGCATGACAGTTAATTATAAATTTAGTTGACCCCATTTATTATATATTGTATTTATATTGGGTTGAATGTCGCCTTAAAAAAAACTCTTTTAATTTGAATGAAGTGGTAGTCTAAACCCTTCAGATATTGGAGAAAATTAAATAAAAAATTAATAATTATTCCATCTCAAGTGATTTCATTGTTGTAATAACTTTGGAATTATTTGTCTAATTTCTATTAGGCTAAGAGACAATATGAGGCCATTTTCAGCCTTCAAAAAATGTTAAACCACTATATATATATATATATATTATTAAAAGTATCTAAAAGTAGAATATTGTTTTTTAATAAAAAGAATATTTGAACTGAAGAAAATCTAAAATCTAATAAAAAAATGATTCAATAAAAGGAATATTTAGTCCCAACAAAATCTAATTAGAAATGGATTCAATAAAAGGAATATTTAGTAATAATTATAAATAAACTCAATTTTATTTTGTTTCTAAGTCTTCCCTAAATAGCAATTTTACAATAATATATTTCTTCTTTGTTCTTTTGATTTTGCTTATCGGGTTTTTTCTTTTAATTTTTAATGTTTCTTATTTTCAATTTCTTCTCTCTGTTTTGCTTCTAGTATATATATATATACACACACAGACACACACACTAGTAAAAAATCAAGTGTTAATTTTATTTTGAATCTCCTTCAACATGTTCATCCTAAAGAATGTTCAACAATTTAATTTTTGTTATTTTGCATTTTCTAATGAGAAGTCCACTTCATTTTGTTAAAGCAATTTAATTTATGATTATGAAATATATCTTGCATCACCAATTTATTTATTTATTTATTATTTTAAAAATCATATCTATCTAATTAATAGGGTGTGAATTAAGGGTTCGAGACTCGGTGGAGGCATGTGTGTGTGAATTTCAACTAGAAAAAAAAATCATATCTATAAAAAATTTTAATTTTCATATTCAAATTACATAAAAGAGAGTTGAAAAGTAAAAGATTAACCACTACAACACTCAGCATTAGCATACAACAATTAAAAAAAAAAAAATATTCCACTGCCGGGATTTGAACCCGGATTCTTTGAATCCGATAGAATTGCCATGGTGCTACAGTGGACCATTTTGTCATATTGGTGAAATTAATTTTATTTAATACTTTTTACTCATCGGCATTAGTATAGAATATGAAAAACAAAAAAATTATTTATTCCACTGCCCGAATTTGAACCCGGATTCTTTTAACCATATAAAATTGCCAGGGTGCTACAGTGGACCTTCTTGCCAAATTAAGAAAAATTTGATTTTGGGCGAGGCCCAAACTGGAGCTAATTTATACTGGGCCTCTAGGCAACTAAAAAATATTCCATTGCCGGGAATAATTCGTCTCGTTGGTCGTTGGCCCATATAACATAATAATCACTCTCACACTGGAACCAATCTTTGAAGTTGACTTTAGATTCAGATGCTGCAGCGAAACCCGACTTGAGTTGATCGGAGGGGCGAGTGAAAATACATACATAAGCTCTGAATCCCTCACCGGAACCAAATCTTTGATAATATTATCTGACGAGAGAGAGAGAAATGGCAGGATTGCTAGCATGGGCAGCAGATGTAGTCACATCAACGACAAAGACGAAGCCAATTCAATCCCTATATTTTTCACTCCCGATCAGCATATTTACGTCAGGGGCTTGGATCAGAAAGCAGCTTCTCTCAGCCATTCGATCCAAGATCTATGGATCTTTAGAGAGTTTTACGCGCCTCCCTCACCTCCACGCCCACTCCCTAGCCTCAAACGCCGCTCTCGCCCTCCAATTGAACTCTCACTCCGCCACCAGAGAACAGGTTTTCTTTAAATTCACACTCTTTCCCTATCTGGGTCTTCGATTCTCAATGTAATTATCCTTTTACACATATATGTTGTTCAATTTATGTGGATCTTTGAATTTTGATCGCATTGTACTCTAGTGTGCTTACATGTATAGACCATGTTTTCTTCAAATTCACACTCTTTCTTATATGGATCTTCTAAACTATGCAATTATTCTTTTACAAACACAAATTTTTTGTTCAAATTCCTCATATTCAAACTCTTTTCGTATCTGGGCCTGTGAAAGTTCATTTGATCATTCTCTTATAAGCACGTATATTTCATTAGAATATTGGGGATATGAATTTTGATCACATTGTACTAGTGGATGCTTGCATATATAGATCAGGAATTCCTCATATTCACTATTTTCTTATCTAGGTATGTGAATGTTCATTTGTGCATTCTTTTATAGGCACTTATACCTTATTAGATTTGCAGCTGGTCTAGTCATATGAGTTTTTCTAAAAAGTCTTGATGTTTTTTGCTGTGAGAATCTTTAAACTTAAGTTTAGAGACAACCTCTTGATAAGATAAAAAAATTTACCTTTTTAAATTCTACATGTGACAGTTAAGTTTTGTATAGTGTTCAGAGAAAGCATACTCTTTTATTTCTTAGTTGTGTCACATGTATATTGGCTTACACCAATCTTTGACGTCCTTAATGGCTTAAAAAGAACAAGACAACTAGATTTTTAACGTAATAATTATTTTTGTTTAGATTATTTAGAATGGGCCATTCCCATGATAAAAATTATGACTAGCAAGTGTGAGGAACTGAACTTTAGTCCCAGAGCAGTCATTTAGTGCAAAATAATGATAAAATGTTATTCTGTCTCTAGTATTTCCTTCGCAACACCCATGTAGGCGGGATCAACATTGGTTAATAAATTAATAGCCTTTAACTTTTTCTGTTTAGACTGAAAAGTTTCTAACTTGGAACTGCAATTCTAGTTAAAAGAAAACTGGGAACTTACCCTGACAAAGAGGTTAGATAGTTTTTATTTGAATAAACTCCAAACACAAAATTAAAACTAGAGTACATTCCTTAACCAAATTAACTTTGACATGAAGCAACTCATATGTTCAAATAACCAGAATATCCTGAAAAATTAGGCAGTTCCAATGTATCCATACTCAAGGAGCAAGAATTGTTCTAGTTCAGCAAGTTTGGTCTGATGAGGAACCAATTAATATTGTTTTATATTTTCTTCTCCTCTTTGGTTATGTAGAAATAAATTTCAAATGTATTGTAGCTACAATTGGCTTCTGAGATGATTTTTCGAATTGTAAATGATAAAAAATAACAAAATAATGTGACAGCATTGAATTTGGAACATAGTAAAGTGACAGCACAGCCTTTGACTATGATATATCGATGGCTTGCTGAACGCTTGGAATTGCCGTGAAAGTATTATTTCCTACAATTTTGTTACCTCTGTCTTCACATTGCTAATTGCTTTGTAAAACGTTTAGCTTAATGGTAGTGTCTAAAACTGAAATCAGATAGAAGAAAGAGAATAAAATCATTAAGATTAATTCAATTCTAAAGCTTCAAGCTTGCAAGTGGTTGCCAAGCTAGCTACTGGTCCTGCTTCGCCTGTGTATCCCTGCTACAATCTCTGTTAAACACCCCTAGTTAGGAGAAACCTTATTCTTATTGTTATTATTTTTTTTAAGTTCAGAGCAATGTGCGGCCTGGCCTGTGTTGGATGGCTGACCAATCTTTTGTGTCAATTATTTTTATGGAAGCCTTAAATCACTTTACTAATAATCTTGCGTGCAAATTTGGTTACTGATTCTTGTAAATTATGTTTCTCAATTGCCTGAATGAACACCCAAGTTTTAAACCCCACTACTTTGGCTAAATATATCATTTTTCTCCACTTGACTCTGTCTTGAGCTGTAATATTTGTTTGATTGAAAATTTTCTCTATAAATAAATGTTACCTTACAGGAAATGGACTTGACTGAGAAAGATATAAAAGCTGAGTTGGAAAATCCAAGATGACAGTTGAATCTCAAGAAGATACAGAAGCTTCAAAATCTGCTATACTGGACAAGTTAGAGAACAAGAAAAAAGAACTGGTCTGATTCATATTTCCTCTGCTTGATATGCTTTTGTTTTTACTTTCCTTCTTTCCTTATTTCTTTAATATTTTTGATTCTTATTTTTAGTGCTGAAAATCTTTTATTTTCTCAGTTTTCGGCGGAGGAGATTGTTCAAGACTTGGAGAAAAAGTGGGCACAGGTTCAGGAGAATGCACTAAAGCAGCCTTCTCCAGGTGTCTTACATCATCTATTTGTGGGTGGTCGAACTGAGAGCCAGCAGAGGCTCATGCTGCTCAGGTTGGCTTTTGTGCTCTACATTTTAGCTCTGCACATCTTAGTCTTCATGAAGCTTTCATTCTCATAGATCTTCCCGAATATACTTTTTCTGTCAAAATTTCTAAAATTTTGTTGCTGTGCTCAACCAGATACCTATTTTTGTTGTATCTTACTCCAGGTTGTACAAAAACATGTCGTGTATTTTTAATGAAATGTTATTTTTTCTATGGCTTTTAAATTCAAGTTCTTCTAATTGTGAGATAAATTACTGTTTTGCTGCTTATCGACAATATCTCCTTTAAACAACGAACTCCAAAATCTTGCAACTGAATTATCGTGCTCTGGAAAACCATTTATATTCCCTCTGTAAGCTGTAACTAGGTTGTCATTTAGACTAGAGCTGTTCCCTTTCGCTCTTGCTTGGTGCCTTTTGCTCTCTTCCACCCGACAGTTTCTTCAGGTTTACGTAATTGATTCAACCTCTAGTTTACCATCCTTCTAACGGTTATTTTGATTTAGCAGTAAAAATGTAGACAAGATCAAAGCAACTGACATAACGAGAACAATGATCTTATCAAATGAATGTATAAATTATCGATCCAACTTTCTGCTCTAAACCAGCAGATGTAATCACATTCCTCTGAACGTTTCTTGTATTATCTCATCATCCATATTCCTTTGTTCCTTATATCGTCAATGAAGAAGAATTACATACAAAAATTTAATCATGCAAAAATATCTAACTTTTAACTTTGAAATATGTATAAATAAAAACAATGTAGTTACACCTTCACAAGTTAAATACAAAAGGAATAATTAATTTGCTCATCCGAAATCTATCTGATTTCTGCTAAGCATTCATTGAAGCTTCCCTATCGATCCTTCACTTTCCATCTTCAACATTTGAAGCAAAAGTTCATTCCACCTGTCGACGGGGCCTGGCATGCACCAGTGGAGACAGTCAGGTATAGTCTTATTCTCTTGTGGCGAATGCCCATAATCACTTGGATGTCCATCTGGCCTTAGCACCATTGCTTCACTAGTATCTAGCGTCCTGAATCTGAGGCCCCTCTTTTTTTCCTTCCTTTTCTGCTGCTCTTAGGTCCTCCACCTGGGTCTTGTACAACTCCAAACTTTACCCATCTAACTTCATTTCTTGCTTCGTAAACAGCCTCGTTCTCACACAATTCCCTCCTTTATTCCAGTCCCCATTCTCGAAGTGTGACGGTGAGAATGTCCTTAGAAATGTCAGTCCTGTGAAGTTTTGAAGGTTTATAAGTGCCCCAAAGGCTGTATGAAAAGCCATTTTATATCCTTAGTAAAATGTAATGAATTTCTTTAATTTTAATAATTAGATAAGTTGATCTACCTTCCTTATTTAGTCTATTATATTTTAAGAAGAGTTTTGTCCCACATCCATAATTGATTGAAAAATTATTGAGTATATATGAATTGGGTGGTAGCACAACTTAATAACTTTTAAGTCTTTAAATTTGTAAAAAAAACATGTCTTTAAATTTGAAATATTTGACCCTATGATTAGGTGTTACACTATGCTTGCCAAAATCTGAAAGCACTCAGGGGCGCCACTCTGAAGCTGAGTCCTACAGAAATATAAATATTAGCCAGACAAAGCAGCAGCAGAAGCAGAAAAGTCCTACAATGGCGAAGCCAGTTCTTCTCATGTTGCTTGCAACGATGTTTTCTGTGATTGTCAACATATTCAACAAACTCGCGACTACCAATGGTATGTCAACGTCCGTTCTCACCGCATACCAATTCATCTTTGGAACCAAGTTGCTAGCTCCTTTGGCCATTTACAAATCATGGTACACTACTCCAATTTTAATTGCTTTGTTTGTTTGTTTGGTTTCTAGCTTCGATACTCTTTTTCCTCCCTTTATGCTGTTTTTGTGAAAAAATGTGCAAAACTGTGTCTATATCCTTGTTGAGTAATGTTACCATGCTTGATTGATTTTTTTGTGCGACTCCAATAAATATTGTCCAGCATAGTATTAAAGCTAACATATATACCAGATATATATATATATATATATATATAGGAGTACTAGTAGATGACTAAAACTAAGAACTTCAAAGTCTAGGTTTTTGACCCCAGATATATGGAATTTGAAAAAGACGTTGCAATTTTTTTTTTTTTTTCTTTGAATTTTATCATCTAAATAGATATATTTGTCTAAGTATTGCAGGGGAACCAGGTACAATCTGACATGGGAGCGTATGGAAATCAAACAAAGAAAGAAAGCAATTAAAATTGGAGCAGTGTACAATGATTTGTAAATGGCCGAAGGAGCTAGCAAACATGGTTCCAAAGATGAATCGGTATGCGATGAGAACGGAGGTTGACATATCATTGGTAGTCGCGAGTTTGTTAAATATGTTGACAATCACACAAAACATAGTTGCAAGCAACATGAGAAGAACTGGCTTCGCCATTGTAGGACTTTTCTGCTTCTACCGCTGCTTTGTCTGGCTAATATTTATATTTCTGTAGGACCCAGCTTCAGAGTGGCGCCCCTGAGTGCTTTCAGATTTTGAAAAGCATAATGTAACCTAGGGTCAAATATTTCAGATATAAAGACTTATCTCTCGTACGGAATTTCAAGGCTTTCTCTTCCCCTTCCGGGCTGGTTGCCTTACCATCCGAAACTCAAAGATTCAATAAGATTACTGAAGTTTTTAACAAATTTTGAAGATTTTAAAGTTATTAAGTTGTGTTATGACTTAATTCATATGTACTCAATAAATTTTCAGTCAATATATGGGACAAAACTCTTCTTATAATAATAACTAAATGAGGAAGATAAATCAACTTATCTAATTATTAAAATTAAAAAAATTAAGAATTTTAAGAAAGGTGGCATCACCATACCTACCTCCTAACACCACCAAATACGTATAAAGCCTAAACATAAACAATTCATAGTATCTAGGATAACAAGGATTTGTATCTTGCAACGAAGACCCAGTTTCCATTTGTCGAAGGGGTGAGTGAACGGATAAGCTCTGGCCGGTTCTGATAACATCATCAAAGAGAAATGATTTGTTAGTTTGTGGAGACCAGGGGCGGAAATTAAACCCGGATTCTTTTGGACACAAGAGTTGCCAATATTCATAATTTGAGATATATAAAATTAAGAAAAAAATAAAATTAGATTTCAATTTTGAATTTAGGATTGTTTGGACGTAAAATGTTTTTCTTGTAAAATATTTTATAAACAAAACATTTTCATGTAAAATGTTTTTTTATTTTTTATTTTTCGGTGTTTGGCAACAATTGTTAAAATATTTTCTAAATGAACTTTTGTGCATAATAGCAATGGGGTGAGGCGGGGATCTCATTCTCTATCCCCAAGCCCAGTAATTTTTTTCATCCCATCCCCGTGCCCATCCGCATTTAAAATTTCACTTCAATCACCGTACCAGCCCCGCCCTCCATTCCCTATACTGTCCCGCAATCCCTATCCTCATTTAATATACACTGTAATTTTTTTAACACATAATTTTTCTTATTTTCAAAAGTATGTTTATATATACTTAATATAATTTGGTAATATATCATAATATATAAAAGTATTTTAGTTAATGTATAACTTAAACGGGTGGGCGGGTTTACTCTATCTCCGTCCCCACTTCACTAGATTTTTAAAAAAATTTCTATCCCCATCCCCGTTTGCATAAAAAGGTCCCAAACCCTTTTAGTGCCCAAAAAATGTCAAGCCAATATATATATACTATAAGCAGATTTATAATCTTAATTAACATTTCATTATACAAATAAACTCAAATAAAGATGGTAAGAAATTAAAATTAAATAAAAATTCTCAACGCAATAATGAGTACATAAAAAAAAATAAAAAATAAAAAAGATAGAAACAAAAATGCTTCATCGTGCCACCCATTAACAAAGCAATCAAATAATTATTCATATTGATTTCTTTTAAATGCAAGATTCATTGATATTTTTAAATATTTTGCTATGTTAATTGTAATTTTGTAAACAAGAGTTACAACACTCAGCAGAAGCATCAAAAAAAACGTAAAAAAGTTTGTTCCACTTCCGGGATTTGAACCCAGATTCTCTTAACCATATAGAACCCGAATTTCCACCATAAAATGCTGAATTGACTTTAGATTCAGATCCTGGAACGAAACCCGACTTGAGTTGATCGGAGGGGCGAGTGAAAATACATAAGCTCTGAATCCCTCACCGGAACCAATCTTTGATAATATTATCCGACGAGAGAGAGAAATGGCAGGATTGCTAGCATGGGCAGCAGATGTAGTAGGAGGTGGGGGTCACATCAACGGCGAAGACGAAGCCAATTCAATCCCTATATTTTCCACTCCCGATCAGCAGATTTACGTCAGGGGCTTGGATCAGAAAGCAGCTTCTCTCAGCCGTTCGATCCAAGATCTACGGCTCAGACTCCCTCCCTCTCACATCTCTCAGCGCCTCCCTCACCTTCACACCCACTCCCTAGCCTCAAACGCCGCTCTCGCCCTCCAATTGAACTCTCACTCCGCCACCAGAGAACAGGTTTTCTTTAAATTCACACTTTCCCTGTCTGGGTCTTCGATTCTCAATGCAATTATCCTTTTACACACGTATATGTAGTTCAATTTATGTGGATCTTTGAATTTTGATCGCATTGTACCCTAGTGTGCTTGCATGTATAGACCATGTTTTCTTCAAATTCACACTCTTTCTTATCTGGGTCTTCTAAACTATGCAATTATTCTTTTACGAACACACATTTTTTGTTCAAATTCCTCATATTCATACTCTTTTATTATCTGGGCCTGTGAAAGTTCATTTGATCATTCTCTTATAAGCACGTATATTTCATTAGATTATTGGGGATCTGAATTTTGATCACATTGTACTAGTGGTTGCTTGCATATATAGATCAGGAATTCGTCATATTCATTATTTTCTTATCTAGGTATGTGAATGTTCATTTGTGCATTCTTTTATAGGCACATATACGTTATTAGATTTGCAGTTGGGCTAGTCATATGAGTTTTTCTCAAAAGTCTTGATATTTTTTGCACCAAACCTTATGACTAGGCACAATTGAGATCAATCACTCTGCAAGAAGAAAATGCTGCTTACGAAAAGGCTATATCGAATTGTGAGAATAAAATACAGGAGAAGCTGCAGGAGGAAGAACGATTTCGGAGCAAATTAAAGGTCAGAGCTAATTTTCCGAAATTTATTTCTTCATCCTGCTTTCGTATTTGGCATCTATGGGGAATGATATAATGTTAACCCAAGCAAAATTGTCTGAAATGTGTCTGCATTTTACATTTAAGGGAATTCGATAGTATTGATGTCCTAGAGTGGTTTTCTGATTGTGTTCAGAAACCGGACTTAAGATAAAAGTAGAAGCTAAATTAAATTGATGTCCCAAGATATGTACAAGGCCATTAGCCTCATTGTATTTTGGGCAATTAGCCATTGTGATATTGGAGCAGTGTATTCTCACAATATGTCGGAAGCTAAAATTGGTTGTAAATGACGTATCATCTCTGGATTTAGCATCTAATCAATTGTGATTCAAGTTAAAATTAGTTTATATTCTTAGTTTACAATTTACCGCAATGGTCAAATTTTTTTTTTGTTGTTTAGAAAACATTAGTGCTGTAAATCCTAACTTTTGCTGTGAGAATCTTTCAACTTAAGTTGAGAGACAACCTCTTGATAAGATAAAAAAATTTACCTTTCTAAATTCTACATGAGACAGTTAAGTTTTGCATAGTGTTCAGAGAAAACATATTCTTTTTATTTCTTAGTTGTGTCGCATGTATATTGGCATACACCAATCATTGACGTCCTTAATGGCTTAAAAAGAACAAGACAACTAGATTTTTAACATTATAATTATTTTTGTTTAGATTATTTAGAATGGGCCATTCCCATGATAAAAATTATGACTAGTAAGTGTGAGGAACTGAACTTTAGTCCCAGAGCAGTCATTTAGTGCAAAATAATGATAAAATGTTATTCTGTCTCTAGTATTTCCTTCGCAACACCCATGAAGGCGGGATCAACATTGGTTAATAGCCTTTTAACTTTTTCTGTTTAGACTGAAAATTTTCTAACTTGGAACAGCAATTCTAGTTAAAAGAAAACTGGGAACTTACCATGACAAAGAGGTTAGATAGTTTTTATTTGAATAAACTCCAAACACAATTTTTTTTTTTTTGATAAATAATAATCGATTAAAAAGCATTCAAAAGGGGAAAACGTCCCAAAACAAGAGTGGAACCAGGTTCTAAGGACCCAAAGAATCCAAGAAATTAACTAAAACATCGGGAGAGGAATAAGAACTCCTCTTCACGTAACTAAAAATAGAACGAATCATATGAAGTTTTCGCATCGCCATGGATGACTCCTTTGCTTCGAACATTCTGTTATTCCTCTCTTTCCAAATGCACCACCAATCGCAATGCGGGATTGCCCTCCAGAAATTGCGAACACTGCTTCTCACACGACATCCCCTCGAAGATCCAGGCATTACCCAGAACATACCGAATAACCCAAAAATGAGGTTCCAATAGGCGTACGCCACTAGGCAATGTAGGAGAATATGATCCACTGACTCACCATTACTTTTGCAAAGGCAACACCAATTAACAATACAGTTGCCTCTCTTCCTCAAATTGTCAATCGTCAAAATCTTATCCCATACAGCTGTCCGAACAAAAAATGACATTCTAGGAGGAGCAGCAGAACGCCATATAGTCTTCCATGGAAAATCAATGCCTATGAAATTGGTTAGGCATCGTACTTCAAAACGGCCATGGGATGAGGGAATCCACCTAATATCATTGCTACCGCTGCCAACTACCTCCTGTCTATACAACGTGTCCAATAGAACACAAACCTCATCCACCTCCCAATCCTGAAAGGAATGCCGAAAGCTTACGTCCCATGTGATCCCACTACTATCAAGCCGATAGCAGTCAACTACGCAAACATGTCTATCGGTTGCAATACTGTACAAACTTGGGAAGGTGCGAGATAATGGCTGATCACCACACCATAAATCCTCCCAAAAACGAACATATCTACCGTCACGCACCTTAAATCTACTATGGGAAGAGAAAACATCCCATTCCTTTTGAATGGATTTCCACACCCCAACTCCTCCCGCCATAGAAACTAGGTGAGTGGAAAAACTCCAAACACAAAATTAAAACTAGAGTACATTCCTTAATCAAATTAACTTTGACATGAAACAACTCATATATTCAAATAACCAGAATATCCTGAAAAATGAGGCAGTTCCAATATATCCATACTCAAGGAGCAAGAATTGTTCTAGTTCAGCAAGTTTGGTCTGATGAGGAACCAATTAGTATTGTTTTATTTTTTCTTCTCCTTTTTGGTTATGTAGAAATAAATTTCAAATGTGGTGTAGCTACAATTGGCTTCTGAGATGATTTTCCGAAATGTAGATTATAAAAAATAACAAAATAATGTGACAGCATTGAATTTGGAACATAGTAAAGTGACAGCACAGTCTTTGACTGTGATATATCGATGGCTTGCTGAACGCTTGGAATTGCCGTGAAAGTAGTATTTCCTACAATTTTGTAACCTCTGTCTTCACATTGCTAATTGCTTCATAAAACGTTTAGCTTAATGGTAGTGTCTAAAACTGAAATCAGATAGAAGAAAAGAGAATAAAATCATTAAGA